GGCCCCTCCCGCCTTCCCGGCGCAGGGTGCGGGGGGCGTCATGGAACCCCGAGCGGTTGCGGATGCCGTAGAGACGGGGGAGGAGGACATGATCCTGGAGGCTCTGCACGCGTACAACCGGGAGGTGAGCGGGACCGGGGACCGGGACGCGCCCGCGGAGGGGGCAGGGTGGGGCTCACGCGTGGCCAGCGGAGGTGCGGCAGTGGGGCTGTGGGAGGGAGCGCGGCAGGGCGGGGCCCCGAGGCTGTGAGGAGTTGCTGGGAAGAGGGTCGGGGTGCGCACCGGGGCACAGGTGTGTGGGGTGCGCCCATCTGTTCAGAGTGGTGGCTGCGGCCTGCGCTCCCTGAGCCTCTGGATCTCTTCGCAGAATTCCCAGAACTTCACGTTTGATGCTGCCCAACAGGAGGACAGGAAGGTGCGTGCTGACCCGGGGTTAGAGGGGCAGGGACGGGTGGCTCCTGGTAGGGGGGCCTGGTGGAGCCGCTCTTCTCTACCCACAGAGACTGGCGGAGCTACTGGTTTCAGTTCTGGAGCGGGGCTTGCCACCCTCCCGCCGGGTCACCTGGCTGCAGAGCATCCGCATCCTGTCCAGGGACCGTAGCTGCCTGGATGCCTTCACCAGCCCCCAGAGCTTGCAGGCTCTTGCGTGCTATGCTGGCATCTCCACCTCCGAAGGGTCAGCCCCTGAGCCCCTGGACTTGGATGTTGTACTCGAGTCCCTCAAGTGCTTGTGCAACCTTGTGCTCAGCAGCCCCAGGGCACAGGTGCTGGCTGCAGAGGCCCGCTTGGTGGTGAGGCTCTCGAAGCGTGTGGGGCTGCACCAGGAGAGCAGCTTTCCACACGAGGTCCAGCTCTTTGACTTGCGCCTCCTGTTCTTGCTCACGGCACTTCGCACAGATGTGCGCCAGCAGCTGTTCCAGGAGCTGCAGGGTGTGCACCTGCTGACTGAAGCACTGCAGCTGACACTGGGAGTGACCCCTGGGCAGAGTCCCCCAGAGCTCCTTCCTCCCCAGGAGACAGAGCGGGCCATGGAGATCCTCAAGGTGCTCTTCAACATCACTTTCGACTCCATCAGGAGGGAAGTGGACGAGGTGAGGACACTTCCTGGACCTGCCTCACTGTCGGTACCCTAATATGTCTAGGTATCAGATTCGGACAGGAGTGCTCAGCCTGTCGGGAGGAGGCAAGGAGATGTCTATCCTGGGCAGGAGCATCAAGGGAAGTTTCTGAGGGAGGTGGAGGCTGCATGGTGAGAAGCTATAGGCGACTTCCTACCAGGAGATTGAGTGTGGGGCCAGAACACAGTGTGATGTCATCCAGAGAGACCTGTTGCCGCTCTTAAGGGGG